CCCCATTACCAACCCCTGTTACCACTCCCCTTATCAATCCCCTTATCAATTACCCTATCAAGTAGCCCTGCCTGGCGTCCTGGCGCCGGTTCCTCATCAGCGCCTTGTACTCGCCCACGCGCAGCCGCTTGCCCTCCACGATGCAGGTGCGCTTGGGCCGCGGTTTGTATTTGTAGTCCGGGTACTTCTCCAGGTGCTGCCGGCTCAGCCGTGCCTGCTCCTCGTAGTAGGGCTGCTTCTCCTGGTTGGACATGGATTTCCAGCGGGATCCTGCATGGGGAAAGGAGGAGAGCGTCCTCACAGCCTGCCTGAGCGAGGAGAGCGGGGTGAACCCATCCCGAGGTTGGTTGGTGCTGTTGGTTGGTTAATTAATGGTGTTAATTAATGGTGTTGTTGTGGGAATGGCGCCTGGATTTACAGCGGTGCTGGTGGGAGCCGCTGGTTCTGCTGGAATATCGGGAACTGCATCCCTGAATTTCCCTGGGCATTTTCAGGGATTCATCTCCTCCTTCCCTGACCTTCCCTCCTGGGATTCATCCCCTCCCTCCAGGGAGATGCAGAGCACATCCCCTGTCTCAAGATCATCTTCCAAACCCTCCAGGGGATGCAGAGGGAATCCCCTGTTCCTGGATCTCATTCCCATCCCTCCAGGTGATGCAGAGGGGGTCCTACCCCAGGATCTCATTCCTATTCTTTCAGGGGGGAATCTCCTGTCCCAGGACCACATTCCCATCCCTCCAGGGGCTGTAGAGGAGATCCTGCCCCAGGATTTAATTCCCATCCCTCTACAGAGATGCAGAATAGATCCCCTGCCCCAGGATCTCATTACCATCCCTCCAGGGGCTGCAGAAAGGATTCCCCATTCCCAGATCTTGTTCCCATCCCTCCAGATGTTGCAGAGGGGATCCTGCCCTGGGATCTCTTTCCCATCCCTCTATGTAGATGCAGAGTGGATCTCCTATCCCAGGACCTCATTCCCATCCCTCCAGGGGCTGCAAAGAAGATCCTGCCCTGGGATCTCATTCCCATCTCTCAATAGAGATGCAGAGTGGATCTCCCATTCCCAGATCTCATCCCCATCCCTCCAGGTGCTGCAGAGCGGATCCTGCCCCAGCATCTCTTTCCCATCCCTCCATGGAGATGCAGAGTGGATCCCCTGTCCCAGGACCTCATTCCCATCCCTCCAGGGGCTGCAGAGGAGATCCTGCCCCAGGATCTCACCCAGGATCTTGCTGATGCTGGAGTTGTGCATGTCTGGGAAGGCCTGCAGGATCTTCCTGCGCTCGTCCTTGGCCCACACCATGAAGGCGTTCATGGGCCGCTTGATGTGGTTGTTGTTCCTGGACTCCGGGAAGTGCCGGGAGCCTGCGGGGACACGCGGGATGAGGGCAGGAGCCACAGGACAGAGCCACCCTGGGGCCACCACTGTGCTCTGGCCACCCTCACCGTCCATCTCACAGCTCAGCAGAGCCTCGTCCAGCCGGTGGCCGGGGGTCTCCTCCATCCGCTCCTTCACCGGGGAGGAGTCGATCCCGACGGGCTCCTATAGGACAGTGCGGNCTGTCCCCTTGGCTTGGTGGCTTCTCCCCTGCCCTCATCTCTGCCCTCAGGATCAGGGGACATCCAGGGGGGTTTGTCCTGCCTGTCCCCACTGTCCCCTTGGCTTGGTGGCTTCCCTGCCACTGCCAGCTCTGCCCTCAGGGTCAGGAAGGTCTGGGGACATCCAGAGGGATCTGTCCTGCCTGTCCCCACCCATCCAGCTCCTGGCAGCAATCAGGGCCCTGTGCCCCACCCCTGGCCATGGGGACAGGGTGACAGTCCCTTCTCTGGGCATAGGGATGTCCCCCAGAGCCCTGTGCCCCACCCCTGGCCATGGGGACAGGGTGACAGTCCCTTCTCTGGGAACAGGGGTGTCCCCAGACAGTCTCAGGGCTGCTGGCACCTCCCTGTTTGTTTCAATGGGAAATAAAAGCTGCTGGTAGCTGGAATTTGGGGCTGGTGGCTCTGGGGGCTCTGGGGGTGCTCCTGTCCCTTCTGTACCCCGAGATGTCCCCATTCAACCCAGGCCCCCCACTCTCTGCTCCAAAAAAGTCACTTTTATTGTGCCAAGGGCCAGGGGGAGGAACAATTGTAAACAGGGATGTGAAATATACAGGTTAAGTTACTCGTCGTCTTATTAACAAAATAAAGCTCTATCTATATTTACAATCTTTTAAAAAACAAAATGAAACAAAACGACAAAATAAAAAGAAAAAGAAATGGAAGAGAGACACAGGAAGAGCTGCAGCTGTGGGGAGGGGACAAATCTGCTTCCAGTCCCTCTGCAGCACAGCCTGGCCCAGCCCTGGAGCTGGAACCCCTCCCCAGGGACCCCTTTCCATGCCCAGGGACCCCTTTCCATGCCCAGGGACCCCTGTCCCTCCCCAGGGAGTTGGGAATAAATAAAGCACTGACAAAGGGCAGGGGAGCAGGGAGGGGCTGGCTGGGCAGGGCAGGGGCTGGCAGGATGTCCCCTGGGGTAAAAGATGTCCCCATGGCAGTGTCCCCATGGCGGTGTCACCATGGCAGTGTCACCATGACAGTGTCCTCTTGGCAGTGTCACCATGGCAGTGTCACCATGGCAGTGTCCCCAACACTGGAATGCTGGTGCTGCTGAGATTTGGATCCCCAGCCCGGCTTGGGGACAAGGGGACAGAGGGACAAGGGGACAGAGGCTGGAGCCCACTTTGTGCAGCCTTGAGCCCGGGCGGCCACAGTGTCCCCAGCACTGTCACTGTCCCTGTGATGTCCCCAGCACT